ATGACCTATCCACGTCATCATTTACCCAGAATGCTTTGCGTGTAAATAAAATGGCTCCATCCTTGTAATATATTTTTAAATTTTTAGTTTAAAACTGATGAAAACTAAACATTCTACAGTATTTTTACAGTCTTTATTTTACATTTAAAATATATGTTTATCAAATAAAGTCTAATGTTACAACTAATTGTGCATCCCTTTAAATTTATAACTGCATGCCTTCAGCATGTGGAGTATAAATAAATAACAAACGATTTGTTGTAGGGTTGGGTGGTATTGATCATTTTCACACCGCAGTATAACCTTTCGAAAATACCACGGTATTAACCATATGGTGTGTGTGTGTGTGTGTGTAAAGTGTTGAGTAATTAATAACAATGAGCATTTTGCATAAACAAATATGCCCACTGATTTCTGACGAATCACACAGTAAGTTCTCATGCAGAGGGGAGTGAAAAGTTCTCACTGAGTTGTGACAAGAAGGGGTGAAGGACTCAAAGCTGCAAACTGAATGATGCAGTTTTTGTCATGAAACTGCGATCAGAGCTGGTTTCAGCAGTTTGGGTGGAGAATGTGGAGGCCTTAATTTAAAATATAGACAACTATGTCTCTGTAGGGTTTTAAGTTTCAAAATAAYGTGACTATTACCACAGTTGTATCCATGCTGCTGCATCCTTTAGCCAGTCTTTGTGCCGATACAATATGCAGGTGTTTCCTGGAGTTATTTCCTCGTCTGCATTGAGGAACGTGACCTCATGTGACTAATACGTCACAATGCTGCTGTATAACAAAATACTGTCATACCGGCCAAGCCTAATGAGTGTGATCCGGTCTATCCACAAACTGTGGGTTCAGACTGTTTGGTTAGCTTCTGTGTTGACCTCATGAATTAAGGGTCAGATGTTTAATTGTTCACAAGGGTTTCTTTGACCTTCATTCAGAAATGTAATGAGTTTATTCTTTTCTTTCAGACTGTTTATGAAGGCAGAATATACAGTCTGAAAATAGACTGTGGACCCAGATACCCGGAACATCCTCCTCTTGTTCGCTTTGTGAACAAGATCAACTTGACTGGTGTGAACAGTTCAAACGGTGTGGTGAGTGTCYACATCTGACAACACATTCACTTTGTTCAAACAAGGTTTTTTAGTCATTTCTCATTGTTTACTGCTTTTATGTGTGCATGGTTTTATAAGAAAATAAAGTTCCTCCTCTTCATTACAGGTAGAGGTTAGATACAGTCATGGGGGAAGTCCTCCCTCTTTCAGTTCTTGGGTTTTATGTATCAGTACTTAATAAAATGATCAGGGGCCTCATGTACAAAGACTTGCGTGGATTTCTTACTGAAACGTGGCGTACGATCAAATCCAGAAATTGGCGTACGCACAAAATAATCCAGATATATCAAACTGTGCGTACACCTGAATCCACGCACATTGCTTTTGTACATCACAGTTAACGTGGAAC